GTGTGTGTGTGTGTGTATTTGTGATTATATGTTCCCAAACGTAAATAGTGGATCCAATTACCACGAGAAATAATTAGTAAGTAACATTGTCGATCACTTCAAACACAAACAAGACTGTAATCTGTTGGTAATGCTATAATTTGGGATAATGGACTTAATGGTCTATTTTATTCCACTTTATTTTATCCTATGATTCCTTAAATGAAATCACTGTGAACCTAAAACTAAAACAAGCCATTCTTTATATTTCTATAGTTTCTCACCATTTTCAATAATGTGCTTTGCATTATAACAAAAAAAGAAGTTATAGGTCATTACACACCTTGATACACAATATGAAATCCTTGTTTGTTCTGAGAGTAATCGCTGTGAAAATATAAGCTAGTTTCATGCGTTGTACTGAAAAGGGAAGAAGGGAGCTGAGTTCCGCTGAGTCTACCAATGGCAGTGCTAACATCGGGGGATCCACTTCTAACTTCCAGGTAATCATGGATTGTCTCCGTTGAAAAGTTTACAAATTGCAAGTGCACACCTGAAAATAGTTTTTTTTTTTTAAATAATAATAATAATAATAATTTGATGAATAAAGTATACTTGCTATGCCCGGTTTTTAAATGAGAATCATACTTAGTCGGGCTTCACTTCTTCTAAATCAGTGGTGTTATTTACCGGTTATGCCCAGTTCAGCTGAGCCGGTAGCGCCAATGACCAGGGACACCAAACTGGTTTTCTCCAATGCTCTGCTGTTGGGCCCACCCACCCGCCTGGGCTCCCATACTAACCTTTTTGTCCTGCTTTTGAAACACAGCTGCTTTGCACTGCAAGCAGATTGCTGTGCAGCAGCTGCTGAAGCGATAGGGAGAGTGCAGGCTTGCAGGAGGTGAGTCAGAAACTGAGTGCACCTATGCAAAGTGCTTGTTTGGCGTGTGTGCACATCTGAATTTTGCGCGCATGCACAAAGTGTGCCCACCAAGACATGCTCACCGAACCGGTGGTAAAAATATTTGAAACACACCACTGTTCTAAATGGTAATAAATTGAATAAGACATACCAAAGCCAACAGGCAGCTTGATAGTCCATGTACAATCCAAACTACTGGGATAATTCCCGGGAAATCCTGGGCTAAGGATCACACCACTGAAGTCTGACATGGAACCACCACATTGTGCTACAAATGAGAAGGGGGAAAAGCTCATTTAAACCATGTTATCTTTTCCTGCCTGTGTAAACTTCAGCTTCCAGAATTCTGAGAGCTTGGCTGGGAATTCTTGGAGTTGAAGTCCACACATTT